TGCCACAGAAGGTGCCCCTCATCTGAGCAGTGGCAGGTTCATGTGGAAGCAGGAATTCCTCAGGTGGAATGAAGCTAAAACTCAGCACCAGCTGCATTTTTGATCTGGATTGGTGTTGTATGGTGTTGTCATCAGGTTAGCAGGGTGATCTGTGAGGCCCTTACTAACAGGTGAAGGAGATGGAGCATTTGATGATTCTGGAACCTCCTTATGCCCGCTCCAATTTTGGTGTGAAGTTCATTACACTTCAGAGAATGAACTGACAACTTGAGTCAGCCTGAAATGGAAGATGTAAAAAAATCTTCCAAGCTGCCAAGTTCAGGTCAGGTGCTGCAGCATGGCAACCTTCCTGCTGTCTTTTCACACTGGAAACAAGTGCCTTGAGAAATGTGAGCTCTCTCATGTGCTCACAGGAGCACCCTGGCTTACCTTTCAGTGCAGTGAGCTGTGGTGCTGCCTGTTGAATGTGATTCTTTTCCCAGTAGTATTTGTGGGATGAAAAGATTTGTTGGCAAGTGCTAAAATATTGCACACACACCCCCTTTCCTGTAAAAAGTACGTGGTTTAATCTAATTTTGTAATGGAGTAGGTTGTCTTCTCCTGTAGGGTTTAGCAGGGCTACATGGTCACTGGTGTTGCCAAATAGGAATGCAGGAGGTCTTCACTGCTCAGTGGGGGGGTGTTTACCCAGGTAATGTGTGAGGGAGCTTTGTGGCTGAGAATCAGGTGGGATGTACAGGCAGTTACACCCAACACCTCTCTGGAGGGGGTGGCAGAGCTTTCCCCAAGTGTTTCATGCTGTCTCTGAGCTGGCCTGATTTGGTAGGTGGGTGTCAGCTTTTGCACTGCTTCTGGCCAATCCCACAGCCTTTCCTGAGGGTTAGTTTTGCTTTAAGGTGAAGAGGGAGCAGAGGAAAAGAATCCAGTCATAACTCTTGCTTTGTGGGTTGGTGTGGCTTCTCTGGTTGACAGCTGAACCCTTTCAAAGTTTAATCTTGCGCTTAAGACTAGTAATCAAATTTACTAAATCCAGCTTTCATGAGAGCCTTAGCACTAAGATCCACAGTGCTTAGTTAGTCATAACTAAATAATTTGGAACAGAGAAGATGTTCCTCATCAATCACAGTAACTGCATTCCTCAAAGTCACTGGGATGTGGATGACAGGAGAGTAAGAGCTCTGGAATACCTTTGGAAGGAATGACTTGTCCGTTGCTTTCAGTGTCTGCTGGACTTGCTTGGCCTTTTTTGTGGAGTCTGAAATATTTGAGATGTATCAAAAATTACTTTTTCAGGTGAATGGTGGAGCTTTGAGGTGGTCTGACCTGCATCTTCTGCACCATGGCTCAAGTGACAGAATTAGTTTGTGGATCCTGGGTGGTGCCTGATCCATCTGGCTGCTCCTAGGCAGGGTGGCTTTTCTTCTGTGGCATTTTGGGGTGGGGAGAGAGAGAGAGAATGTTTGCCTTCCCCCTTTTGAGTGATGGTATCAGAAAATGAGCAGAGCTACCCGTGCTTTGGAAAATCATGGATTTCTATCAGACTTTCCTTGAGATTTGATCTTACTGACAAAGTGGTGTCTTGCTTGGCTCTCACCCTCAGCTCTTCTCCTTGGCAGTCTCATTTCCCCTACAATACATGTTTGCAGGACTCACTGGTGCTCTCTTCATACTTGTGCTATTCTTGTACCTGGCCATATGTTCTACCTGACTCTGAATTTCTGGGAATGCTATGAGGAGAGGCTGTGGCTTGGCAAGCCTGTAGTGTGCCACCAGAGGCACCTTCTGCTCCATGACTGGGAGGAGTAGCAGAAGCACTGGAACTGTCTGAAGGATCAGCTGACAGCACCTTGGTGGTTTATATCCTGCCAGCTCCTGGAGTTGGTGATTTTTATCCATTGCTGTTCTTTTACAGGACAGCATAGAGAGATTCTTCCCAGAAGCTCTTCCCTTTCTCTTGAAAGCTGAATTCTGCAGATAGTGGTGTTTGAGTCCCACTACTTAGCAAAGAAGCTTCCTAGTTGAAAGTGTTTTGTTATTACACAGTTTTTAAATGGTATTAAAGGTATAGAAGGACAGAAGTGCAAGGTATAGAAAAACACGTATCACTCACACAACTTTGTGGGATGTTTTCTTTGGGATCCTTGACTTTACTATTGCATCTTGTAGCTCAGGTTTGGGCTGTGTCCTTGAAAGTGTTTGTTGGAGAGCTTTATTTTGGGGAAATGAGATGCAGAAACAGTGCTGTGGTGGTGATGCTTTCTTCCAGTGTATTTCAAAGCTTAGTAAAATGGTTGAGTTGGATTTAGAGGGGAAAAGAAAAGGAAAAAAATCAAGACTGACATCCAGTGGGACAAAAGCAGTGGCTAGCAATACAATACTCAAGGTCATTTAGCTAGATAAGGGCTGGGTCTGCTTACTTTTGGCATGTTCTAACTTTGGTGCTTAT